AGCCGCATTAAAATCTAGGAAAATAGACCGATCTAAGCCACAAACACATAAGCTCGGTTCATGTAACTTATGTTGTGCTATTCCTAACAATGCACGACTGTTAGTTGCTACAAACGAAATAAGAGCGACGACAATTACGGATCGAAGCCTCAAATCTAGCAATTAACATGCAATTCCTAACTTAGGTGATCAAGCTAAATTAAAAATCACACATTATGACATGAAACTAGAATAACACAAACAATTTTATACGACGAGTAAAACGAAATAAATAGCATTAATCAAACATAGTCATCGAGGGTTCAACGTCCCTAGAACCGAAATAAGTGTTTAGCTATACATAGCTAAATGATAAAAATAAAGGTAATAATTTAACATGTTCTTGAAACAAAATAAAATAAAGAAAAACAAATAAATCAAACTCCTTTAAGTTCAAGATGCTCCACGGCTAAGTTGAATTCTTCAATCTCCTCCCCAACTCACGTTATAAAACCAAGCCAGGTTGAATAGAATGAATGAATTTATTTATTTTTTTCTCCCTTGATTTCTATCTCACGCAGCCAAAATAAGGATAAGAGTCCCACTCCCCTTGAATTCTTCCCCCACGTGATCACACTAAAGAGTCCAAAGAGAATTGAATTCTCCTTAATCTTGGTCAGCCACCAACAAAAAATAGTCCATCAATTAAGAAAATCCATCCTTAAAAATTAGTCCTCCTGCGTGTATTCGGTTAATTCAAATTGCAATCCACTTCTTTGCCTACTCAACTGCCACCTCACCAATGCCACGTCACAAATAGGCGTAATAACTGCAAAATAAGATAAAATCCAAATATTGGTGTACGTTCGTTCACAAAATAAATTACGTGAGAAAACTTGTATAATACACTAAAATCAAATACTAAAATATATAAATTAACTCACAAAATAACACAAGATTTCTCACGTATCATTGTGCACCTCCCGAGGTCTTGCGATGACGGTTGTTGCGGTTCGGACGGACCTCCCCTCTTCAGGTGCGATCCCGCAGGCTCCGGTCGCTGGCTTCCCGATTTTGCAGCGGCGCTGGGTGGAGTGTGGGTTAGGGAGCGGGACGAGGCTCAGGCGGCTCGTGGCACGTCGCGTCGGAGTGGTCGAAGCGGAGATGCTGAACCACTCTCCTCTCCCCGGTTCTCTGTTGTTGGGTTCGGGGGAACTAGTGCATCTGTACTCGGCTAGTGGTGTTAGCAGGGTGGGGCTATGCTGGTCTCAGCTAGTGGTGTTAGCTGGGTGAGGCGGTGTTCGGTTTCCACCGGCTGGGGAAGAATCAATTTCGAGTTTGGTTCTGGGCTTGGTTTCGGCTTCAGCTAGGCGATTTGGCAGTTTCAGTTGCGGTTCTTGGGACTTTCATGGATTGATATAATATATCAGTTTTTGTCGAGATTAGGTGTTGAAATTTTGTACAATCTAGCTGCAAAACATGTTATGGTAATTTTCCTGATAATTTATGCCGGAAAGTTATGGCTTGCACTCTGTAGCACTCAGCGACTGCATGATCTGGGCGAGGAATCGAAGTTGCTTCCACTGTGGAAACAAGTAAGTTTTCTTGGTGAGCTGCCGCATTTATCCACTTATTATATCTGATATTGGATGATCAGCGTTTAGTGCTTATATAATTTATTAAAGATGGATGATCGAATTAAATAATGATTTATCACTACAACTATTGTGATATTTTAGTTCCACTTATGTTACTTTCCCCGAGTGAATGAGTTTTCCCACAGGCGGACCCTCAGTTTCTTTGGAACAGATATATTTTGGAAGTGCTCATAGATAACAAGGTCGGTTTTGTAGCTGAATCAGGCTAGTATTTCATACTCTCGTCTCTGAATTTCCATTGAAAATTTTTCTTGTTTCTTTTTCCTTTTTAATCACTGATATGCTGTGGTAGTTGTGCAGCTTGATCCATACTTGCTTCCTGTGATGCAAGGGAGTATCCTTTTGAATGGGCCCAATCTCTTACAAATAATATACGTAATCTCATATTTTTTTACCATGGGATGAAGTTAAGCCTTAACAAGTCATCAGGTTTTCAGAGCTTTAAATATACTATTGGCAAAGATGTTCTTGATCTCACACTGATTGCACGAAGGTGCACTAGAAGAATTGGTAAACTCCTAAGTTCACTTTCATCAGCCTCCTGCGACTGTATCCATTTTCCTTCTTATCTATTCTCCTCGTTTTGAACTCATATATAGTGTTTGGTCAGAAAGGGCTAGCCTTTTTAACAGTTTGCATGTTTTGCTTAGCTTTCCTGTGGACAGGGCTATTGCTTTTTCTTAGTTGGATTGAGGATATATATATATATATGTGTGTGTGTGTGTGTGTGTGTGTGTGTGTGTGTATGTTATGTATATATATATATGTGTGTGTGTGTGTGTGTGTGTATGTATTTCATCGTCTCTGTATGCTGGATTGCTGATCATGCTTGTCTGACAATTTGCAATAATTACCAGAAAAATACTTAATTGTGTAAACTGTAATGTAAAAACTGTTTAAGCTCGTTTTTGGCTTATGATAATAATTTTATTGAATCGAATTTTTTCTTCTCAGCCTTGCTTGACCTGAGATGTATTTTCTAGAAAATAACAAATGGACTAACTTAAGTATTAATGAGCATGAACTGCATTATTCAGTTTACAGTGAGGAGGTGATTACTATTTGAGTGTGGATCATGATGTACTTTCTGTATTGATCTTTCTATTCAGTCGGTTCTTAATCTGAAACTTTGTGAAGGCACTCGTATGTGGAGAAGATGAGCTGATTCTGATGGTTTTGTAGCAAACTTTGTTGAAACAGAACAAATCATACAGGTGAATGGGCATACTGCATCTTTTGTTTAGGTTAGACTCTAGGCGATCTTCCGATCTGTCCTCCAAGTTTTTTCAGCCTTTGGTTGTATGTTTAAGCTTTTGGCTATTTTCTCTTCTCAACATAAAAAAGGAACAAAAATTTTGTACTTGTCAAAACATAAAAAATTAATGTATATTAATTACGAGTTGCTTACGTGGTAAAATTGGTGGGTGTCCAAACCAACACTAAAAAGATTATGTTTCTAAAATAAATGTAGTAATGTTAAGGAGTGTCGTATCTATATATCTATACTAATATAAAAAGGTTGTTGGTAAAATACTGAAAAAGAAAATTTGATTTTTTAATTAAATGGTTGACTTTCCTTTTGAAGAAGTATTGTACAAATTACTTTAAATTTTTTTCCAGAAAAAAACTTTTAAAATAAAACGAATTCTACAATGTGAATCGATAAATATTTTTTTCTTTTCAAAAAACCGCATTCACCAATTGAACTTTAAATTTATGGATGATACACGGAAAACTATCACATTAGAATAATTTGCGAAAATAAATTATTATAATATTTGATTGTTTGACATGATATCAACAAAACGTTATTCTAATTTTTAAAAGATGCCATGTTTAATAGTAAATATTTCAATAATGCAATAAAATATTGAATAACTAAATTTTGATTGGAATCCTGCAGTTCATTTTTTAACATTTCATGTCTACAGGTGTGGTGGATAATAAAATAAATAATCTATTACTATAAAATAGCAATAGAGATCTCCTTTAAGTAGAAAATAAAATACCGCCTAAAAATTTGGATTTTACTACAACTGATAAGTTTTTGAAATTATTTGAAAAGTTGACAGTTGATTTGTAATTTGTTTTTAAATTCATTCAAACATTTAAAGAAAAACATCATAAGCAGATTTATTGGATACATTCCATTTTATCTTAACTTACATTTAATCACATTCCTAACAAACATTGAAAATACTTATATATTTTTAAATTAATTACATCAATAAATAATATTAATATACATTAAACATTTATCATTATATAAAAAAATATTACTTCTATAAGTGTTATTAATACTAATCACATTATACGACAATAAAGTTTGAATAAAATAATATTTGAGTATTATGATGAACCAAAATATGTAAAATATTATTTTTCTGTATTAAAAATAAGTATATAAGTTAAAATATTATTTATATTAATATAAACAGGTCAACGGGATAATATATTGTTAAAATAAAGTTTTGAAAAAATATTTTGAGGTATGAAACCACCGTGCATCGCACTGGATTCTCACTAGTATAGAGAAAGAGGTTGTTGGAATAATCTAAAATAATAACTTTGACTTTGTAATTAAATTTGTTGAACTACTATTAAATGAAATGTAGTATAAATTTCAGTAATATTTAAAAAAAATAAAAAAAAATAAATTATACCTATCTGTTTCAAATCGTGTAATTTGGTTAATAGCATTGCTTTCTCTATTAATAAAGTGGTTAATTTATAAGCTTTCTATATTCAAATAAGTTTTGTTTGGTAAAATGAATTTTGTTTTTAAAAGCTCGAGCTTATCTTATAAGTTTCATTTCTATTGAAATTTTTATTTCAGCTAGGTTATAAGTTAATTTTACTAAACACTTTTATCTTATAAGCTAACTTTTCAACCATAAGTCACAAACTATCAGCTATAAACTCAAAATTCACTTATATGAACTGTCAGCTACAACTATCAGCTAGCTTTTCATTTAGATTTATCAAAGGTAGCCTTAATCATATCCTAATGTTTGATAGATAAACTATTTAATTAATAAAAAGTAATAATTAGGTGTCTCATAGTTAATTTAACTTTTTTTTATTAAAGTTGGATATACTATTTTTTTTATATGTGTAATATGGATACCAAATCAAATATCGTCAAAAAATTATATTATATATATATTTTTTAAAAAATAAAAAATATTAAATTTTAAAATATATTTATAACTGAAGTTAATTAAGACTTTTATAATTTAAAATAAAAAAATACTAATGGGAATAAAAATGACATAAAATTTCGAAAGTTTTATTAAGTTTGAAAAAATCTGCACATAAATTGATTTAAAAAAAAAAAAAGAAAATTGATGAGGGGTGTGCAAATGCGTAAGTACATCTTGGAAGCCCGCAAATATGGCGGCATTTTCCGTTGATTCAGTTTTGGAGTGCGAGTGTGTCCGCTCAAACGCAAACAAACAAACACAAAATATGCTTATTTTTCAATCTTCATATCCAACGAGGTTTCCAAATCGATTCATCTCTCTCGATTGCTTTCAGGCGCCTGAAACCGTTGCCGATCGCCTCCCAATTCCAATTCCGATCACCGGCGGCGAAAAGTGCTGATAATGATGGAGAAGGCTGATCCCGCTCACAAGCTGTTCAACAGAATGCGACTGTGGGAATTCCCCGACCAGTACGTGGTGGAGCCCACTGACGGCTCATCTGCTCCGTTTCTGGTCATCAGCCGCGTTGATGGATCCATGAATCTTACGGGTCATTTTCATTCACACTCATTTTCCATTATTGTTTTGTTCTTTTCCTTCAATTAACTGCTCATTTTCATTACTTGGTGAGGTTGTGCGTGCAGGCTGACATTTTTCTTTTTGTTTATTTGTTTTGTACTCCCAATGTGTTATCCAGAGGACATAACGGACTACGTGAAGTTTCATGTTCCGAGAACTTGGACGATATATGGTGTGGTTGGGACAGTCAAGCTGATTGCAGGCATGTTTTATTGCTCTGTTTTTAAGTCAAAATATGTTGTGTTGGTTTCTGGTGGGGGAGTAATGGTTGCTTGTCAAGTCAAGTGTTGGTATAATGAATTCAGTTAGTGGTGAATGAACTGTGAGAAGCTGTCGGAATAAACACATTGTATCCTAACTGTACTTAATTCTTTAGTTCCTTTAAGGTTTATTTTCGTGTTCTTCACACTCTTCATGTATCTGTCACTTGCCTTTTAGGTTCATACTTATTGGTGATTACTGAACGTGAATGCGTTGGATCGTATATGGGTTATCCCATCTTCAAAATCACGTCACTGATGATTTTTCCTTGTGATCATTCTCTCAACAACGCTCCAGAAGAACAAGTATACTATATGCCAAGTTTTTTTCCCCTTTCATTCAGGGATATATGGAAAAACCATTTTCCAAAAATTTCTTTATGTTGTATATATTTCTTGGCCAGAAAAAGGTGGAGATTAAATTTTGTGAGTTGCTCAGAATTGCCGAGAGGACACCGGGTCTTTATTTCTCTTATGACGTGAATATAACATTGAGGTGAAGTTTTTATTTACACGGAATACTTACATGCTTATCGATTCTGTTTTGCTTATATACCTCCAACTAGGTGTTTTCAACAATCATTTTCCTCTTAACTGCTGACGATAGGGACCATTATTTTTACATCGGAAAATGTGACTTCCCTTTCATGGATTGATATAATATATCAGTTTTTGTCGAGATTAGGTGTTGAAATTTTGTACAATCTAGCTGCAAAACATGTTATGGTAATTTTCCTGATAATTTATGCCGGAAAGTTATGGCTTGCACTCTGTAGCACTCAGCGACTGCATGATCTGGGCGAGGAATCGAAGTTGCTTCCACTGTGGAAACAAGTAAGTTTTCTTGGTGAGCTGCCGCATTTATCCACTTATTATATCTGATATTGGATGATCAGCGTTTAGTGCTTATATAATTTATTAAAGATGGATGATCGAATTAAATAATGATTTATCACTACAACTATTGTGATATTTTAGTTCCACTTATGTTACTTTCCCCGAGTGAATGAGTTTTCCCACAGGCGGACCCTCAGTTTCTTTGGAACAGATATATTTTGGAAGTGCTCATAGATAACAAGGTCGGTTTTGTAGCTGAATCAGGCTAGTATTTCATACTCTCGTCTCTGAATTTCCATTGAAAATTTTTCTTGTTTCTTTTTCCTTTTTAATCACTGATATGCTGTGGTAGTTGTGCAGCTTGATCCATACTTGCTTCCTGTGATGCAAGGGAGTATCCTTTTGAATGGGCCCAATCTCTTACAAATAATATACGTAATCTCATATTTTTTTACCATGGGATGAAGTTAAGCCTTAACAAGTCATCAGGTTTTCAGAGCTTTAAATATACTATTGGCAAAGATGTTCTTGATCTCACACTGATTGCACGAAGGTGCACTAGAAGAATTGGTAAACTCCTAAGTTCACTTTCATCAGCCTCCTGCGTCTGTATCCATTTTCCTTCTTATCTATTCTCCTCATTTTGAACTCATATATAGTGTTTGGTCAGAAAGGGCTAGCCTTTTTAACAGTTTGCATGTTTTGCTTAGCTTTCCTGTGGACAGGGCTATTGCTTTTTCTTGGTTGGATTGAGGATATATATATATATGTGTGTGTGTGTGTGTGTGTATATATATGTGTGTGTGTGTGTGTGTATGTATTTCATCGTCTCTGTATGCTGGATTGCTGATCATGCTTGTCTGACAATTTGCAATAATTACCAAAAAAATACTTAACTGTATAAACTGTAATGTAAAAACTGTTTAAACTCGTTTTTGGCTTATGATAAAAATTTTATTGAATCAAATTTTTTCTTCTCAGCCTTGCTTGACCTGAGATGTATTTTCTCGAAAATAACAAATGGACTAACTTAAGTATTAATGAGCATGAACTGCATTATTCAGTTTACAGTGAGGAGGTGATTACTATTTGAGTGTGGATCATGCTGTACTTTCTGTATTGATCTTTCTATTCAGTCGGTTCTTAATCTGAAACTTTGTGAAGGCACTCGTATGTGGAGAAGAGGAGCTGATTCTGATGGTTTTGTAGCAAACTTTGTTGAAACAGAACAAATCATACAGGTGAATGGGCATACTGCATCTTTTGTTCAGGTAAGCTCAGCAAAATATGAAATAAATTATCAACTCTAGTCTTTGAGCATAAGTCTGGACTGTTGTTGTACAATGAATGATAAGAGTTTCTATCTAGGACATTTACAAGATTTAAATAGTACTTCTCATCCTTTCAAGTGTTATTATCAACAAATTAACATTAATATTTTTCTCGATGATATCTTATAGGTTCGAGGATCAATTCCATTACTGTGGGATCAGATTGTGGATATTACATATAAACCCAAGTTTAATATTATTGAAGTTGCGGAAGTCGTGAGTAGTTCAATTCATTTAACCAAAATTGTATTGCACATACAAATAACATGATCAGTTATGTTGTTTTTTACTATTCTTTTGTTCCTCTTTTCAGTCTCAAGTAGTTGAGCGGCACTTTTGTGATCTAAGAAAGAAATATGGAAATGTCCAGATTGTTAATCTTGTCAACAAGGTACGTAAATATTTACCACAACACATTTTCATGTTCCTCTCATAGCTTTCCTTACAGAACACCGAAATCATTTAAGCTATTTAAATTTCCTTCAACTGCCATCAGCAACTTTTGACTACTTTGTTCTTGTGGTTGGTTTGCTACTGCAACCTAGTATTATCTGTAAACTAAGTTTGAATCTACCGATCATATAAAGGAAAGGGCGAAAATAATAATAAATAAGAAGAAGTATTGGAAGGAATTAGCTGAGGCATCACAAACTTGGGTAGCATCCAAGAAAAGAATTTCAATTCTCTAATATTTGAAGTTCAGTTGACATATACAAAATTGTCTCATGAGCACACCCAGAGAGATGATCTTTCTTACCATTTCTGAGTTATGATCTTTAATTTGTATATTGGTTATGTTTTTTTTTTATATATATATATATATATATATATAGCATGGAGGTGAGGGACATCTATGTGGAAAGTTTGGCAGTGCATTACAAAGTCTTGCCAGAGATGATCTGAGGTGGGTTTCCTTTCATTTGGTCAATTTACAGTCAAATACCATAATTCTGGGCTGATGTTGCACTCAAAGTGCAATATGGATACTCTTAAACTGGGTGGTCCTCATTTGTAGAACGGCTATGTTGTAGAACAACCACGACGACTGGAGTTTCATACGCCTTTTAACAAAAGTAATCACATAAAACCGGAAAATATATCTCATTTGTTTTTATATTTAAATTTAATACATGAATTGATAGATTTATAAGTAATATGTTTTTCGTTAACAATAGTTTTCTCATCTTGAAAGCTGAGGGAATAAGTTAACGAGTTAAATATTTCATCATTCTAAAATTTTTGAAGAATGTGCAAGTGAGGATCCACAAAAAAATCTATAAATAACAGGTTTGTCGCTAACAATGGCTTTTCTCATCTTGAAAGCTAATGGAATATAGTTGTAGGAGTTCAATATTTCATCATTTTAATAACTTCGAAGAATGTGCAAGTCAGCATCAACAAAAATCTAATTGGTACATCACCTGATGACTTGGGATCTAATAAAGCAGTAAGAGACTATATTGTTCACTTAAGTATTGGAGAGAATATATTATGACTTGGGCAACCTAATTGAGGTGTGTTTCTTGAATGGGAAATCTCACACCCGTTTTCCTCTCTTATTTTACATCATTTATATTTCACCATTCATCTATATGCTAATTTTTTTGTCCAGATATATGCACTTTGACTTTCATCGGATATGTGGGGATAATGATATTGAGTGGATTTCCATTCTTTATCATCGAATTGAGACTTATATGTTAAAGAACAGGTAACTTTGCTAGAGATGTCCTGTTATGTGTTATTGTTATTTCCTTGGGTGCCACAAATGTAAGATTTTTCTGACTATTAGTTTATTTTCATAAAACTTAACTCAGTTTCATTACATTTATAATAATATACATATTATGGGCAACTGATATTTAAGTTATTGTGAAAACCTGGAATACAATTTTCAATAATACTCGAATTGATTTGTCTAGTATCAGGTAGCAGCTTTTCCAATAAATTCCATAAAATGATCACATCACATGATCATTTAATAATATTAATGGTGACAGTGAAAACGTTTAGTAAAAGATCTATTTGGTTGTTGCACTTAGAGGCACAATTTGAGATGATCAGATAAATTGAACTAAGGCTATAATTTTATTCACCCGTGTAATTTCTCAATTCCTAACCTGACCTGTGGTTAATTTTATTGAAACAGTTGTAATATTAACGTTTTGCTTTGCTGGTCAAACCAAGGTTTTTGTGTTGTTTTCAAATCGAGACATTTCAGTTACTTCTGTTGTCTTTTATATTCCTAACTACATTGTTGGGAATTTTCAGGTACCTTTTATTAAATGATAAGGGGGAGAAAAATGAGAGACAAGTTGGAGTGGTAAGAACCAATTGTATTGACTGCTTGGACCGTACTAATGTCACCCAGGTATAATTTTCTTACTTGTTATTAGTATTAATGTTGTGTAATTTTGCCCCTTTCAATGTTGAAATAAGTATCTTTTCGAAGTCTAGTATAGTATTGACTAGAGAATAATTGACATTGCTCATGATATCTAAGTTATTTGGAACAGAACTTTATTCCTCATTGGACTCAATTGATAGACCATGCAGATGAATAGTGCTTAAACAAATTACTACTTCTGGTTAATTATTATTAATGAAATTTCAGTTGTAAGAATACGTAGGAACTTGAAATTACATATATGTCTGTTGAAAGAACAAAAAATATCCCCTAAGCAAACCTCCGGAACTTGACCAATTATAATTATAGTTCAGTTGGGTGGCTTTCCATCTCCTCAGGTTGATTTGGCTGTCCATCCTCTGAAACAGTGATTGTTGGGTATTGTTTCGGTCAGTCGCAAATGTAGGATATGAAACCATCACCAGAGATCCTATTGTTGTAAAGATCGATAACAACTTAAATTAATCACGTCTTACAAATTGAACCTGTGAGTTGGGGCCCTTTCTGCTCCTCACAATGGTTTCCTCTCAAATGTCCAACTATGGAATATGGTTCAGCTTTCTTTTATTAGCTTCCGAAGTTTAGAAAATGGCTTAAGCAGCTTTCAATCCGTCCAAGTGCCTTAGCTTGTTGTGATAGCTTCATTCCAGTTTGTTCTTTGCCTTAAAACATAATAATTAAGTTAAAAAAATGGAATTAGGAACAGTTACTCTACAATCCTCCGATAATTTAAGATTACCAATTAGTTTTACTTGTTTCTCTTGGTCTCCTTGTTTGTCCATTGCAAATGGAGCTGGAAGAGTCATTGTTGACAATTCTCCAGGCATAGTGCTAATAATGGATTAGATCAAAATGACTCAATTAAATTTTAGTGCTTCTTCTATTAGTGAAGTTTCAAAAAAAAAAAAAAAATCAAACGGCGCAATGCACCTTGGGTCGCTACGGAAACAGCCTCCTTGTATAATTACAAGCATAAGGTCTGCGTACAACTGACCCCCAGACCCCAACCTGTTGGGAATATACTGGGTATGTTGTTGTTGTTTCTTTTGGTCTCTTTGTAAAGCATTGTTCTTTTATTGAACTTTTCCTGGATATATATTTGCCTTGGGTTGCTGAAGTAGAAATACTCAATTGTGGTACCACGATTGCTTGTCAAGTTAATCAGCTGGACATGAGCTGAATGAAGTATATTGTGGGTTTTTGTTAATAAGCGAGATGAACTATGGTGTTATATAAAGGTTTTATTTCACCAGACTGATATGGAAAATATAAAATGTCTTGGGCTTGAGGAAAAATGTTTTACCATTTATGCTTTTCCTCCCTTTATGGCAGAGCATGATTGCTTGTAAAATGTTGGAATCACAACTTCGAAGGCTTGGTGTTTTCAAAGCTGATGAAACTATCAGAAGACATCCCAAATTGGATGAAAGCTTTAAAAATTGTCAGTATGTTTTTTCTCTTGTCAAAGTTATACATGTTGCTGCAGTTTTGGGCATTGGATCTTTTGTAACTTCATATAATTTTCTCATTCATCTCATATATATCTATTGTCTCTATTCCTTTTCTAGTGTGGGCTAACCATGGTGATGACATTAGCATCCAGTACACTGGTACTCCTGCATTAAAAGGAGATTTTGTCAGGTATTTTTCATGTACATACATGCAGAACCTTTTCGTAATAATTCCGACATTCCCATCGATTCTTGATTTTTTCTCTTTGATGTATGAGATCCATCTCTTTTCCTATTGATTGAGAAAATCATGATTTTCTCCAATACGAAGACAAGTATATTATGTAACTTATTTTATTTGGAGTTGTTTTCTTGTTTAATTTTAGAATTGGCCAGAGGACAGTTCTAGGAATGCTTAAAGATGGCTGGAGTTCTCTTTTGCGGTACTACTTAAACAATTTCTGTGATGGTACAAAGCAGGTTAGTAATAAGGCTAGAAATTGACTAAAATTGCATGAACCTGTTCAACCTTATTACCTTGACTTGTTATTCCAATTGTATGGTGTCTCACTGTATCTTTCTTTTGCAATTCTTTTGATTATCATAAACTTACACCAGATAACTTTTGGCTGGTTAGTTCACATTTTAACGTTTAGTCATTTAGCATTCTTGCAATCTTGAATCTGTTGATTGATTTGGATCTTCAGAATTTATCGTTGGTGTCACAACAGTTAATTTTGGGTCCACATTTGCAATCATGTCTCTCTAACATAACAATTATTATTAATGAAGCGGAAATCCTAATATTATTATTCTTCCTTTCCTGAAGGATGCGATTGATTTGTTACAAGGACACTATATCGTGTCTGTCTCCCAAAGTATGCTTAGTACAAAAAAGGAAGATGGAATTGAGGCCATAGCTGTGAGTAATTCTGTGGTTACCAGATTTTTTTGTTTTGTACTCTGTATTAGTGCAATTTGTAAATTTTCCATCATTTGGCATTCTTGAGTAGATTGTTCAACTCTGTTTACTGTGTTGTTAAGCAAAAACAGGAGCCTTTTGAAATTAGGTTGACTACATGTATGAAATAATTTGGAAAATATATGGTAATTATTACTAAATGAATGTTCTTTTTGATTTGTTTTAAACAAATGTACTTAGAGAAAACTTGTCTACACTATATACTGGGAATTTGGTTTTGTAACTTAACTACAAAACAACTCCTTATCCTTGCCTGTCTGTGGAAGATCAACCTTGAAGTTCCTCTCAAACATCACGATTTTTCTGCGCTGAAGTTTATGTATGATACTTTTATATGCGAGAGTTATATTGTACTTTTCTTGTTTGTGCAGTCCATTCAACTGGCCCTTTTGCTGATTACGGTTGGGTTCTTTTTTGCAGCAATTTCACTAAGGCGAGGTTAGAATGCACTTAAGTTAACAACAGCCACGTATTTGTTCTACTGTAATTCTTGCTCTACTAACATGATGCTTTGAGTTTCACCTAAGTTTTGACTGTAAATCTGACACTTAAAACGAGTTCAGATTTACCAACTATTCTCTTCTACTTTCTAACATTTGTGTGCGTGTCCCCTCTGCTTCTCACACCAAATAGTCTCAAAATATTAAATCATGTCTCTTGAGAGAGTTTTGAGCCCATGCAACTATAAGAAGTGGCTGCAAATCATAGGCTTCAAGTTTATATGTTACCTCAGAGGCCTAAATGACCGTGCCATTGTGAAACTGATCATTTTCACTGATTTAATTTCGACATGCATCTTCCTATACAGAAAAAAGTTAATTGTTTAAGTTTTGCAGCTCAACGTGACCCGTGGAATTTATTATTTTCAATCATGTGGACGTGTGTGAGTTTGGCGATAGCATCTCTCGTGAAGTCTAAGGGGCGGGCTTTCTGTAACCGGCCTCGTCTGCATCCACCTAGAAAATGAGCATGCATGAGCTTCAAGTGGGCTATCTGTGACAGCTTTGGCCAAAGTTGCAGCTCAAAATATTCAATGGTTAACTTTTTGTAGTATGTATATGAAATTTTGAGTTATATTATATATTTTCCTTTTTTCATTTACATACAGTCCCAAATATAACAGTATATTATATTATATACTGCCCAAGTGTATCAACATATATATTGTCATTCGTCGTAAATGTTGGTATGTGCAAAAGTGTATTGACCTTCAACTCTGTAATTTTTGTGACGATAATGGTTATGCGCTCCATTTATTCGTTAAACTTCATGCTCCCTCCCTTAGGTAGTGCAGCGTTCAATTCAATTTATAACAAGTGTCCATTTATTTGCAATGGGCACAACCGTTTTTGTAATGACATCTTTTATAGAAATTTTTTGCTTTTACACATTGTCTTATTAAAAAACTTATTCTTCATCCCATAAGACGCGAAATGATATGCGATATTAAAATCGTATATCTAAATTAACAGCATAATTAACAATTATGCGAGATTTTGTCGCATATATATACCAACGCACATACAAATTGGACGCACAGTTAATAATTATGCGACATGTTTTCGTATAGTTTACTACTTGCATATCCAAATCGGACGCATAGTTAATAATTATGCGAAATACATTCGCATATTATGTAATCGCATATCCAAATCCACCACATAATTTACCATATGCAAGAAAGTTTTGCATATCCAAATTGAACGTTGCATATTTTATGATTATGCGTTATTGTTTTGCATAATTTACGACTCGCATATTCAAATCTATACAGTTGTATAGTGAACGATTGTGCGTAGTATATTTGCATATCCAAATCTAAAGCTGCATAATTTAGAACTATTCACCATTTTTTTGTCGATCCATATCATGAATCGCATATCCGTCGAAAATATTTCGCATATTATTCACATAATTTACGAATAGCATATCCTTCGGACAAATGTGATAATGGGCGTTCAGGACAATGTGGTAACGGGCCTTCGGATAAATGTGGTAACGGGGGCAAATGTGGTAACAGGCCTTCGGGCAAATATGGTAACTAACCATCACTTCAATCATCTCTCTCCTACTTTTACATCAAATCAATTTTAATTATTTTATTTTAAATATTATCTTAATATATCCACTAACAACTAACCATACCACTTTTTTCAAAATTAACCAAACCAAATCAAAAAATACAAACAAAACAAAAAAAAAAAAATTCATAAACAAACATGCTCTAAGTGTTTTGTCCCTAATTATATATAGATAACGTTAGGGATACCTCACATCTAATGTCAAATTAACTAGTCCTGAAAAAATAAGAAACCATATTTCCGAGTATGGGTATCAGAAAAATGAAATCTTCCAAATAGCATTTACGATCCCAAAAAATAAAACAATGTATAACTTTACTATTATTAAAATGACGTAGCCTTTGCTGCCAAAACAGAGGATAGTTTTTTTTTCTAACAAACTTTGGACCGAAATTCTTTTGATTCCGATTGGGACCCTCAGCGCTAATTGCGGGGAATGGAAAAAAGGGTAATAAGTAATATTTTGGCATTTACTATTATCCTACAAAACCCCTTTTGTCGTGTTCCACGCAAAATAAATAATAAAAGAAATTAACACACACTACTGCGTTTCACAGAGACACCATTTTTACGGCCTTGACTCCATTGCTTTGCTTCGTCGTTACCTTTTTGTCCTGTTGTCTACTCTTTACCAACAAAGTTTAAGAGTGAGAAAATTTTCAGAGAAAAAAATTGTGGAATGATGGAGTGGGAAAAGCAGCCGCCTCGGACAACGGAAGAGGCGAGCGGCGGCGGCGGGAGCGGGGTGTTTGTGAAGGTTATGACCGACGAACAAATGGAGGTTCTCCGGAAGCAGATAGCGATTTACGCCACCATTTGCGAGAAGCTCGTCGAGCTACACAAATCCCTCACCTCCCAGAACGATCTTACTGGTATGGATTTTGTGCCCGCTTTTCGAATGAATTCGGTTTTTATTTTACTCTTTTAACTTTTTAATCTTTTAATAATAGACGAAAAGTGAAGGTGTGCTGCGAATGTTTTTATGATTCTGCTTTTCGCAGGTGTAATGTGCTGATTTTGCTCTGCTATTAATTGTATTTTTAATTAATTTCTGTCTTTGTTTGATGAGTGGTTTAGTCTTCCAGTTAGAATTATCTGGGCTTAATTGATTGTGCAATTAATAAGGTTAGCTACTTGATTTTTCTTTTGTTATTCTCCTAAATCTCTGGCAATGATGAGCGACAATAATTGCTTTCCGAGGTTGTCTTGAAATATCATTTCTGTTTGTCATTTTATTTTGTACTTTCTTGTTGGGTATTAATAATAATGAGTCTGAGAAGTGAGAACACCAAATTACTAAAAACCAGAGCTTGGAAGAATTTCAAATGTTCCTGTTATCAAATGAATATATTGTCAAATGTGCTTAAATTCTTGGGCTGCCCTTTGTTTAATCCAACTTGAGCTTATTGTATCCCCATCACACATAGGCTTTCATTCGTCCTACTTCCTAGAGAAACTAAGAAGTTCTTGTGCTTAAACTTGTAATTTTGCACTAGACTTTCACTATTATAAACTTGTAATTTTGCTTTTTGAATGTTTGCAAACCAAAATAATAATAATAAAAAAAAAGGAAATGAAAAAGTGATTAACAATATTAGCTCAATTTCAAAAGAACCCCGGCACACGAGTTCTTCAGTTTTGTTATTCAGCACTTGAACAACTTCTTTGGCAAACTCTCTCAACTCAATCAATTTCCAGCTTCCATTTGTAAACACTACCGACTCAAGTTTGCCTGTTTTTCAACCCAACTTCAAAAGAGCAGTTCCCCCGAACACTCTCATTTCCCCATAACTGTCCGACGTAAATGCTCTTTATCCAATGCGTAATGTGGTGCCTGGTGACTATGTAAACCCAATCTGAAATAAATTATTAAAGCTTGCACTTCCTCTTCTTGTAGTCTTCTTTTATATCACAAGTATTTTGTTGCATAATCAAGAAATAAGTCCGCTCCTTTTGTTTCTGATGTTAATAACAAACAAACTCTGCCTTTCCCACACACCCAGGAGTGAGGCTCGGGAACCTGTACTGCGACCCCTTGATAGCCAGCGGGGCCCACAAGATGAGCGGCCGCCAGCGGTGGACCCCAACTCCACTGCAGCTCCAGATCCTTGAGCGGATGTTCGACCAGGGGATCGGGACCCCAAGCAAGCAGAAGATTAAAGAGATCACGGCCGAGCTTTCCCAGCACGGCCAAATATCCGAGACCAACGTCTACAACTGGTTCCAGAACAGGCGGGCCCGCTCCAAACGCAAGCAGCAGGTGGCCCCATCCACCAATGCAAACGACTCAGAGGTCGAGACTGAGGTCGAGTCCCCTAACGACAAGAAGAGCAGGCCGCCACCCGAGGATGAGTTCCAGCCTCAGCAGCAGCAGCACATACGGGCCGCCGCAAGGCCCGATCACGAGCTCTGCTTCCAAAGCCCACAGGCCCAGCCCGTGGACATGCATGAGCCTCCTCCCCTGCCCACCCAGGAGGGAAGCTCCAAGTTCGGGGGGGCCGTGAGCCAGATGCCGTTCTATGGGGGTATGCTGTCTAATACGAGTGAGTACTTTTCTTTTCATTCTTTTTATTTGCCCCTTATCTGTCTGATTATGAAAGGTTTGATTTGAATATCCCTTTTCAGTTTTCATTGTTTGGATTTATGAAAAATGATCTTTCGGGAGCTTTTGCAGTTTGCTGCTCTTTATTCTCCCAAGGAATAAGGATGAATAATTTCTGTATTTTGCTTAACCGGTTTACAGCTTCTTCAGGATAATAGGAATGCATTAGGGCATTAATGTATATTTGGAGTGAATATTACAAGCATAGCAACTATTTTTTATTTTATTTTTTTTTCGCCGAAAAAATTATTTCATGGTAATTTTTGAATGTCCTCTTACTTTTAAACGCTTGAAATTCATAAATGCAGGAATGGACCAGTTCATGGGAAAGATGGAAGTACCAGGGAGCTATAATCCTTATTTGCAGCAAGATGGGTACAACATGGGGGGATGAGCATAAAATTTACTATCTAAAACCATCTTTTTTTTCTTACAATACTCATATTATAGTTTCAGCCTATAAAGCCAATCAGCGGTCTTTACACGAGCTGGGAGCTGACCGTCTCGTGTTCTTGGAGATTCCGAGCCTGAACATGAAGATGGACTTATCTAGCTAGCAAATTATTGGTACTATTACCAATTAAATTAGTATATGAATCGAACTTCTTTTTTCCTGCTTTAATCTCTCTTTTCTATCATCATGGTGATTTGGTTAAGTCCAGAGTTTTTTGCGTCAGTATTATTTCGGGCCTTATATATTCTATTTCGACATCCGCATTGTGTATCTTACTACCTTTCCCAGATTAACAATTGTCTGATTTTTATTGGTTTATGCTACTATTTCAGCAAAATAAAGTTCCTGATGATATGAGCACAAAAGTATAAAATAAAATGAAAATTATCTGCAAATGGGCCAGCAGGTGAATTTTTGTACTTTTTTTGTTTTTTTGTTAATAAAAAAGCTTATAGCCTTATTACACCATCAAGTTCGTACAGAGGAGAAAAAAAGATTAGAATACAATTTGACCAATTAATCGTGGTTTTGGATCCCACCGCCCACTTAGCAATGTCGTGAGCAATCGCACTATGAATTTGATTGGTATGCTTACAGAGTCCACATTCTAATCACTCGAACGACCTCTCTTCAAAAGTAAATTTCTGTCCTGCCACACGAGCCACATAAACATAATAAAAATCCTGAACTCCGCTTTCTTACTTCCCTCTAAGATGCTCACAAGCCTCATCCATAATTGTTGCCCCTGCCTTTTCGAGATTTCCGACCACCAACCACACCGTTTCCAAAGCTTCTTCACCCACCAACAATCGAACAAAGCGTGGTTATTTGATTCCCAACTCCCGCATCTAGGACAATTAACGTATGAATTAATATGTCTTCGGTGGAGGTTTTCCCCTGAAGGGATCGCCCTGTGTGATAAACGCCATATGAATGATTTTATTTTTGGGGAAGATGTAACCGCCATAGCAAACGCCACCAAAGACACGATAACACTTGTACTCGAGGATGGATCACCAACACCTGAATTTTGAAGAAGGCGATAACCATTGCGAACTAAGTAAGTACCAGTTTTTCAAAATGCCATATTAGTTTAACATTTATGAATTTTTGTACAATTACATCCCCCAATTTTTCTAAATTTCCACCTTTATTGCCAACTTTTGGCCTTATGCTTAACATTTTCATCACTTGATTTTCCTAAATATGAACAAATAGTCAGACGTGTTATGAATATCTCCCAACCACTGTATTAATTGTATCAAATATGAAAGGACTGTAGTAATTCTGTCGAGATTGAAGGATTATTTTGCTCTTGTGATTGTAATTACGATTTGGGTCATCGAAAGTTTTCTATAAATAAGTAGACATAACCAAAATTTGGTTTCGGGATGGTTTTGGGCTGCATTTGTTGGGGCCTTGAACCGGCCCAATCACATAACCAAAATTTGGTTTCGGGCTGGTTTTGGGTTGCATTGTTGGGGCCTTGAACCGGCCCGATAAAATGCTCGGGCTGGTTCAGTGAATCACCAGTTTCGGGCTGATTCAGGGCNGAGAGGGGTTTAAAAAAATTGGACTTGGGCTAATTGACATATTATAAGTTAAAATATTAATTAAATTGAAGATTTTTTTGGGGTTACAAAATGATATTTTAACTTATAATATGTCAGTTAACTTATAATATTATACAAATAAAATAAATAAAAAAATTTATATTAATTAAAACGGTTCGACCGATTCGACCACTGGTTGGACCAGTAAATCATTAAACCAATAGATTCACCGATTCGATTTTGAAGACCTTGGTATAAACAACCTCCTTGTACACGACATCGTGCACGAGACAAACAACTTAATATATAACTAACTAAGAGCTAGAAAACACAACCTGAAAAAGGCGGAAATAAACTCCCGAATAAGGAGACAACACCACCCTCGAAATAAGCCTCAAAATAAGGGACTAAACCACTACTTGCATGAACAACCACATCATACTACCATCAATATGACTTGATATGTCAAGATGCAGAAGTCCCTCAACAAACAGCAGCAAAGAGATTTGACTTTTTTTTTGTTGAGTTTCGAAGAGATTTTTTTGAGAGAGAAAAAGTTGATAGATTCTTTTGATTTTATTTATTTATTTATTTATTTTTTTATCGAATTATCAAATTTTAGAATTATTAGATTTTATGACTACGACTATACTTTCACTTAAAACGATTTTCTCTAAAATTAATCTTTGTGTTATATAATTTTTATTTTTATTTTGGGCCCCAGAATAATGTAGTTTCGACCCTACAGGGTGCCATCATGCACATATTATACGAAATTAATTTGGAATATCGAGTATGCGCAATGCGCTATTGGCTATTCACCCTTCACCGCATGTTTTTCTATCAATGCCTATCCTTATCTTATATTGTCTACAATATATTTACACACTCCCAAGATGAGAAAAAAAAATATATAGTTTTAAATATTGTATTATTAATTAATTGTCTCAACAACTAACCAGATGATACGATTGTTGAATTGATGGCAGTTGAGCTGAAGGCTAGCTTGACTAATTAATCAGGACAGATTTGAAAACATTGTGTGAACCCTCTGTCCAATCTGACCCGAGTACTCGTTACCCTCTTTTCTTGGTGTTTGATCATATATTCATTATTTATGATTATTCAAAATTATAATACTAATAAGTAATAAGTTCATATGTAAAAGAAAAAAAGTACGCATATACAAGTTCCAACGAAATAATTCCGTAACGGGATTGTAACCTTATCCTACAAATGAATTCAATTTTATTTTTTAAATTGACTATCTAATTATGCAGTTGACCAGATGATCAATTGGTCATGTATTACCAATCATTAGCCAGATGACCCGCCGAGTGAGCTTTTTGAGCGATGGTTCTAAAAAGCAGTTCACTTTCGTGAAAGACACGTGGTTTTTATTTCCCATCAATTGGCGTATTAGGAAAACTGTACATTTTTTTCGACCCTACAAAAGCAAAAAGTCCGTCAAATCTCTCTCTCTCTCTCTGATTTTTGTGTATATTGTCCTTTTTTCTGTCCTCGCACGAGTTTCTGTCTATCTTATTTCATGTTTGTTTGAAAACACAAGCGTGACCTTTGATGCAACAAGTCTTGTAGAAAATATATTTATTGTGTTTTTGGTCCCCAAGACCTTTTCCTTTTGTTTTTAGCTTTTTTTTTTTTATGTTGTGCCCCTTGTCCTGTGTATATGGTGCAAGGGGGATTACATTATCATATATTCGTGGATAAGCATGAAGGCTTGAGGTATTTTTCTTCATGCTTTTAATTTCATTTTTCCTGATTATAACCGGTAGAAAAACTGTTGCTATTGTTACAAAATACTATATACCAATTGAACTTTTGTCTTTTCCGTTCTTCCTTTTACCCTTTCAGTTTTCGCCACCCATACAGAAATTGGGCATTTGCTAATTATAGGGAACTATGATGGCAGCTCTGCTTTTGACAGCCCCTCACACATGAGACCCGTAAATATAAATATTTATATTAAGAAATTTTTTAAATGATTGAAGTTTGGGTGTAGGTTGAAAAAGTAAGATTGTCTTGTTTAATATTTTGCCATGGCCCACGATCATTACAAAACGTAAAAGGAAAACCAAACTATAGTTTCTCGTTTTAGTACGACGTGATTCTTAAGCTACTTTGATACTTGTTCCCCTTTAGATGTGTCATGTTTTTAAATAAATTTTATGGTATATATGCGGCTGCAGGAAGTACAACCTACCCCAGAAAATAAGTGCATGTAGCAGCCACTCCAGGTAGATGAAATTGTATATTTATTCAATTTTAATTGTCTTTTATAGGTTGATTGCTGCTACGTTACAAATTTTGCTACTCAAACAATTAGCTGTGTAATTGGTCTCTATTTTTGATTTGCCCACCTTACTGGACCATATGTATGAAAAAAAAAATATTAAAAAAATTGGCAATAATAATTGTGATTTATTATTATTCAATTTTTATAGATAAAATTATAGCAGGCCAAGCTTGAATTGTCCACACCATTCAATAGCAATAATAGGATATGGTACGTGTTGGTTTCCACCACTTTCCAGCCTGTGGCCTTGTGCTTGGAAAATTTCAAATAGAGTTTTGCCAATCTATTTTCAATTCAAGTTAAAGATATTTGTCCAACATACTAAACTTAGAAATTTTTTAGCATACAGATATTTGGTTACATATATGTATGCATAACAGTATATGTATTAATATTCAGCATAAATTCATTGTAGAGATCAAATTCATTGTTGCAGCTCGAGAAGAGTAGTGAGAGAAAGCCAGCTGCACTCTTCTGCAAAATCATAAAAAAAAAAAAAAAAAAANAAAATCAATATAAGTTTTTACATACATAGTAAATCAAGAAGAACAAAAACAAGAATGGGGTTCTTGTCCTTATTTGAGGTGGCGTCGATGCCGATACTTGAGGTGCTCATAATCAGCACATTGGGAGCTTTCATGGCTACTGATTACCTCAAGCTATTCCCATCTGATGCCAGAAAGTATATGAACAAAGTAAGTTAATTGTTCTGATTTTGAGTTGCTTGAAATTTTTCTTTGTTCTTTGTCTTTTTGTTTTTTGGGGTTGCTCTAGAAGTTGGTGATGTCATATGTATGTTTTGGATTGCAGATTGTGTTTGTGGCCTTCACTCCATCGTTGGTGTTTTCAAGTCTTGCAAAGACCGTACGTCTCGAGGACATCATCTCATGGTATGTAAATACGGCATAAAATTTCTAAATTTCACCTGAATCGTTAAATATAAGAATGTGCTCGGTGTTTCTAAATACTAGCTAGATTATTGATTACATCTCAACATTAGTAATTATATTCTTCACTATTTATTTGTGATTTAGGTGGTTCATGCCTGTAAATATTGCGGTAACTTTTGTAGTCGGAGCCTTCTTTGGATGGGTTGCAGTTAAGATACTTAGACCCGAACCATATCTCGAGGACCTCATCATCGCGTTTTGTTCATCAGGTTCTTGCCATTTTCACACTAGCGACGTTTATTGTTTCTTTAATTTTTTGTTTCGATATAAAAGTGTCGTTAGCTGATTAAGAGAAAATTATGAAAAATAGGTAATTTGGGAAATATTCTAGTGATAATCATCCCGGCTATCTGCCAGGAGAACGGAAGTCCATTCGGTGACGAGAATGTTTGCACCACTGTTGGACTTTCGTATGCTTCGTTTTCTATGGCGGTAAAAGCTGTTTTCTTTTCGAGTTCCCCTGTTTTTGAAGTTTAATTTTCTTCTGCTTATGAAGTAATTGTGTAAGGACTTGACAAGTGTTGGTTTGAATTCATATGTAACAGCTTGGAGCTTTCTATATATGGACTTACACATTCCACTTAATACGAAGCGCGGGAGAAAAATACAAAGCCATACTCGCGGCAGAGGAGTCCAAAAAGGAGCCCAATAAGGATTTAGAGGCAGATGATAAATCCGCTCTTCTTCTTCTTCTTCAAGGAGACGTTACACAGAAACAAATAGTGAGTTACCTAGCATTCTTTTTTGTTCTTATATATGTTTTGTGAAATATATTGATTAAGCAATCTTTGAATTCAATTACGTGTCGAAGGTTGAGTTGAAGCGTAACACAATGTGGTGGACCCGGATTATGGTGATTTTCCATCAGATAGGGGAGGAGCTATTGTCACCCCCAATCCTTGCTGCCGTGAGTTGAACATAATCGTGATAACTTTTTTGCAGTTTTACACGACTTGGCTTCGATAAATGCTCACTAAATTAATTAACAATTCAGGTGATTGGGCTCGTGTTTGGAGCAATCTCATGGCTTCGTAACCTCATAATCGGTGAAAATGCTCCACTCCGAGTGATCAACAGCTCTCTCAAATTACTTGGGTGAGGTTATATATATATATAGCA